TTACACTACATTTCATGTCCTGTTTTCTCTAACTCCTCCAGGAATATATTTATCATCTGAACTCTACTGAAATCTTTATGGTCCCTTTTGGCCAGCAAAATGTGTCTTCAAATTCTCTGGAAAAAAAAAGAGCTGTAATTAATGACCAAAAAGATACCTCATCTCTGTGTATTCAGGATACATAGAGATGCCACATTTATTGATTTTGGATTAGACATCCTAGCCAAACTTCCACACATTGACAAGCATCAGTGGGTAACACACAGGTTGAATTATGGGCTACCACTTGGGGGGGGGGAAGCATGAGCATCCAAATAATCTCATGGAATTTTTCTCTTCCAGTTTTGCAAGCTGCTTTGTGTACATTTGAGGATATAAGAATTGTATGTAGTTGATATTATTCTGCTGATGGAATGGTCATTAATCTACTGGAACCTTACATCAGTGAAACAAAAGAAGGATGTTTTTATGTATGTTAATACTCCCTCTCACTTGCCTACTTCCCATGCTGATCTAAATGGGACTGTAAAGGGGCAGGTGCCCCCCTCCTCATACCACTAATGGAACCCTCCACTAGATCAAGAAAGCATTCAGTCTGCTAAGTTAACACCTGCTGGATAGAAACTATAAACTCTGAAACTGTCTTTATTTACAATCCAGTTGTACTGTAGATGTTCCATTTCAAAAAAAGAGTAAAACCATCTGAATTAATGTACATGCAAAATGTGTATCTTTTTTAAAAGGGAAAAGAAATGGTTGGAAACAAAACCCACAAACATTCTTCTTTTTATTATCAATTAATCATGTGGCTACTGAGTCCTACCTTCAGTCTTTCTAAAGAGAAAGTAGATACTGAGAAAAGAAAACCAAATCCTCTAACTTGTTGGATGCTATTCAAATAAATTATAAGATAAACATATCTTAAAATGTGGTTTCAACTTTGCTATATAATTTCTGGCCAATAGAATCTCCAGTTTTGTCTATCAAGTTTATTGTACACTAGATGAATAACCATTGTGCTGAAGGTCAGTGCATGCAAATATGTGTATGCGTGTTATTGTTTCCTAGCTTTTTCTATTGCTGTCATTGTCATTATTTTGCTGTTGTAATCCATTTGACTGTGGATGCCAAAGTGGTTGTGTCTCAAGTATGTTTCTCTGCCATAAGAGCACTTCAATAATAAGATTATAATAAGTCATTAAAAGTTTATAGACACGAGTATAACTAAGTCAGTTCAAGCTATACATCATCCAACTCTTATGCAGTGTCACTGTATTTCTTTACATAAATAGAAGAGGTGCATGTCTGTGCCAAGCTAGCATTTGCGCAGGAGCTTTGTAACCACATTATTTTGGTACAGATATATGTAATTTTGAAATCACTTTTCAAAGTTTAAAATGTCTTCTGTGTTCCAATGGCATCCAGGACAAAGATGGTTGTGCATGAAACCAACTCCCCATCCTCATTTATGCTGCTGTGCCCGGATCTTTCTCTCATTGGGCTTCACTCAGCGGCTGTACTTGGGCGTGTAGTTGCAGGTGATGAAGCTTTATTGATCCTAGAAGAACATCAGCTGCTAAGCTAGACTGCTTGCTCTTTTACATTGGGTCAACGCTGCTTGGTTTTGACAGTATGCTGGAGAAGGAATGGAAGGGTATTGGGATTCCCCACTCTTCCCCAGTTATCATAAAGGAAAGCGGTCCATATTTGTATCACGTGTCTGCCTACTGATTCTATTCAAAAAAATGTATGGAGCCACTTAAAGAAAAAGGAGAGCTGTGCTTTGATTTGTTTAGTTAACAAAACGTACGCTTGTTGTTCCATTATATGCAATTCATGTGATCAATTTTTTGTTTTTTTTAAAAAAGAGCAAGTTTGGCATGTAAAGAGATTATACTGATGCTAAGGGAATATGATTGTTGCAGTCCAACTTCTGTGCTACTTGCCAAAAATACTCTTTGGGGCTCAGTAATGCAATAATGGTACGCAATCTGCATTTCCCTGTATTAGGATAGAAGCGGTGCACTGTGGCTGTTACCCACTCTGTCCGAATGCTTTGGTCTATCCAGAAATATTTCCAGGTAGTGTCCTATCTGTACATTTCTTTTTTTTCCTTTTTTATTTCAATTTATAATTAATTTGAAGATATAAAGTTTGAGTATAAACTTAAGCAAGAGCAATTGTTTATTTGGCAAGCTACCATGTTAGCGCTGAGGAATTTTTTAATGTGTTTTAATACATTAGACGAAGTTTATATTTACCATCTGTTCTTTCAAGATAACACAAAAGCAAGTTTTGAAATAGCATTCTTCATTGTTAGTATACACAGCCTATAATGATAGATTTTATTAAAAAGGTCGCTTCGTCTATGATAGCTTGCAGACTTTTTTTTCTTTTTAATGATATTCGGAGGGGAAAAAAAAATAGGCCCGAAAGATCATACCAAATTATTTTAAACAATGTAATACTTAATAGTATGCAGCCCTGCTATGGGGTAACACTAATGTAGTACCAATTCTTTCAAAAAAGATCTCATCACTGAATGTCTCATATATGCATTGTGTTACATTAATATAATGTATTTTAATCACCCAAAGGAGATGTCTAAACAGCACAACTACATAGCCTTATTTAGCATTAAACATCCTTGTGAGCTGAGGTAACCTTATAAAATCATGCTTAAATAATGTAAAACACGAGGCGGCACAGAGCAATATGCATTTTTAATTAGTAAAGTGACTAATATCGAGTGTGTGCTTTGAGGTTTTTGTTTCATTAAAAATGTATCTGTTTTTCCTGCAGCTGAATATCTGTATTCTACACCTGAACAGCTTATTAAAAGGCTTCAGAATTTCTGCAAGAGGCCAGATATTGTAAGGAAACATCTCTATAAGGTATTTATTCAGTGCAAGCAACATGATGTGGTCTTTTGCTTAGTGAAAATACAGAACCCACTCACCCACCTCCCGCAAAAAAAGCAACCTTCCTTCCAAAACTAGGAGAAAAAAAGCAGCAGCAGCAACAACAACAGAAAACATTTAATTAACATCCTACTGTTTAAAGGAAACATGCTATGGAGGGATATTAGTTGTTATACTAACAAGGATTAATTACACTGGATGCCACTTGTATTAACCCAAGGTCTTATGAAATATGTGCACTTAGTATATGCTGCACACTTTGTCTTCTTTTTTAATTTATTGTTTTCTAAAGTGACTGTCCGCCACACACAGACCCAAGAGGCTTATAAAAATGAACCTGGATTAATTTAATCCATTAGCCTAAAAGGAAAGTAAGATTGGAGGAGAGAGATCCTATAATTATGTTAATAAGAGAAGTTTGCTGTGTCCTATCAGATGAGGACCCAGGTATATTTCTGTCCCCTTCTCCCTCTGCCTTAAGTTGTTTTGATAATTTCAGAGAATGCCTAGCTCAGTGCAGCGTGGCAATATACATCCATACAAGTTCTGTCCCACCCAAACTTCTGTGAATGAGTCCAGTTTGGTGCCTCACGTTTTAATGGCATTCTTGGGCTAGGTTCAGAAAACATTCACAAGAAAAAGAGCAACCCCGTGTCTCTTCCTTTTTTCCCCATTGTCAAAAGAGCGCTAGGACAGTCACGCGTGAAGTCTGCAAGTCCCATATTTGATGTTTTTGGATTTCCAGAATGAATAAAAAAGAGGAGGCAAAGATGCAGGACTTCTGCTTTTCGGAACATCATGACAGGATATGCAACGTGGTACCCAGGCTCAGGCACACTTCTCAGCTCCCAACTCTCTCTTTAAAAAAAAATAAAACTTTTTTTCTTAAAGGAAATGGAAACCCACCTTGTTTACAGGAATGTCCATAAGCTCTGCATTGATCCTAGCTGAAGTGGTAATAAGCCTGCTTATCAGTATGTGGGAACTAGTCAGAATGGAAGGGAGCAACATTACCAGCTTGCTCTTTTGACAAATGGCTATTTCTGACAGGCACTGCTCACTGTGATTGCCACTGTCTGAACTGGCCAGGTCCCTCTGTGGCAGCCCTTTCACAAGTGCACACACGACATGCTCTCAAATTCCAGCAGTTTCTACCAACCCAAAATATTTCCCTCTTCCTTTGCTACAATGTATAGTTCTGCTCTAACAAATAACTTTGAAAAGTGTGGATGTGTGCATTACAGGTAGTCCTCATTTAGCAACTGCAGTTGGGACCGGCAACTTGGTCATTAAGTAAAGTGGTCACTAAGTGAAGCTGCAGCTGTGCTTATTATATCTTAACTTCAGCTTTCCTTTGCTTTACAGACCTGCAAAGGTCATAAATGCAAGGATTGGTCATAAAGTTACTTTTTCATCACCATTATAACTGCAAATGGTTGCTAAACAAGGCAGTTGGTAAACTAGGACTACCTGTATTGTTATTGGGGTCTGATTTCATCAAGTCCTATCAATTCCCAGTCCCCAGTATTCTTACTGTCTCTCAGTACTTGCATCATCTGTTTTATCCTTACAGGGTTCATTCCCTATTGGTATGATTCAGAAACATAAAATTCTATCACTCAGATTTGCTTTCTCTTGGCTTCTCTTTGAAACTGTAGGAGAGGGCCAAACCATGTCAGTAATGGGATTTAACATGTTCAGTTTTGCAACTCAGGCCCATACTTGGCCCTTAATTTCTCTGATGTTATTTGAAAAAAAATTGCAGTGAATATGATCCCTCCTTATATATTTAATAATTTTTCCTTTTTTGTCACATTTAAAAAAATAAAATTATAATTCAGCAGCAATTTTGGAAGGAGCTTTGGGGATCACAGCTGAGGCTTTGGAGGAGGGTGCAAGCTATTTGGGGAAATTATGTACGAAAATGTTCTTTATAGATAGTACTTTTCTGTGTTGTTCCATGAATTCCATGTTTTTCCATGCAGCAATGTGTCTTGCTGCATTATGTTCTGAAAAAAACATGTAATGTCTGCCTTCTAGATTACTAGATGGCCCAGAAATATAGTGGATTCTGCTGCTAATAAATATATTCTTGATAATACAACTGGACATATTTCATCCGTATTATGTTCAATTGCATGCCTGCTCCTTCCCCAAAAATATTTCTGACTCCTCCCCTTAACATATTTTGTAATTCCTCCATCCCCCTCCCCCAGTGCCACACATCTGTGCAAGTGAATGAAATAATTTTGTTCTTTACACATGCAATTTTATGGGTGACCTAAGAGTGGACATTTATATAAGGGCACACCAACAGGGAATATTGTTTCTGCAGGAAATGGTTAAACCTCAAGAAAAAAGGAGAGAACCAAAAATGCAATTTAACACCCAATTTCAAGCTCATTATCTTTCATTGTCTATTAACTTGGCAATGGTTCAGAAGGTAGCTCATAATAGTTTAAAATGCTGACTGAACACTTCCAGTGTTCAACATTACTTCTTGAGTCAATACTATTGCATAGTTATACATGGAGGCTTCAGAGAGAGAGAGAAAAAATCCTTAAATTTTTACCTTGACATTAGTTCTTCCTTGAACTGCAGTTAAACAGTTTTGTTTTAGACAGCTTGCTTGCTTCATGATTGGAGGCCGGGGGCTTTTGCATTGCAGGGGATATTCCATTTCCTTATGGGCAAGACAGTATTGATGTCCTGCCCATAACGTAGTATTCCAGTATTCAGTATTAATATCCTGCCCATAAAATAGTATTTCAGTATTCAGTATGACAGTATTTCCAAAATGTAGGGCAAAAAAAAAAAGATGCCTATTGTGCAAGTTCCAGTAAGTAATGTTTCATTGGCTACGTTTCTCTGGGAAAAACACTCTCCTTGCTAAATTATATCCAGGCAGAGTTATCTGGCATTACCACCACATACTTGGATACATATATGTTCATCACTCCAGATGGGTGCAAATTCATTCATTCATTCATTCATTCATTCATTCATTCATTCATTCATTTTATCTCCACCCATCTCCCCCTAAAGGGGGACTCTGGGCGGCTCACAAAATCCATCCAGTATAATCCTGGGAATCCCTGTGTGGCACCCATGGAGCTCTACTATTCTGTCTCCAAGGGAAGGGAATCCCACATTTATGGGACCTACCATTAGGCAGATTGAGAGAGTCTTCTAAAGTGAGAGATGCCGGGTAAGATAGAAGGATGACAATCTTAAACCATTCCATTTGTTGGAAGGCAGAGTTTTGTGTGCCAGGCAATCTGCCTACCAACTTGCACTCCTCCATGGCAGGGAAGAAAGTGTCCCATCACCAAGAGGGTTTACAAAGGAATCAGCTGACGGATTAGCTGCAATTGAAGCAGAAATGGAGCTACCATATTCTTCATCTCCGGCAGAAAACTCTTTTGACTGTTGCCTTTTTGCTAAATTTGGAGGCAAAGTACCATCAAGAGAACTTGAGTCAGTCTGTGTGTCCCATAGGTTTGCCAAACACTGCTTTGTAGCAACCACCTGAAGGCCGGGGTAGAAATGTTAATCTACATGATGGAACTTTTTCTCTATCTTAAAAGATCCTCTGTTTAAAAGATAAATTCCCTTCTATCCTGCACCCTTCCAAATTCCATTCTCCTGTTTCCTAGATATCTACTGTTCCAACTATATTTTATTCTGTAGATCCTACTGTTGCTGTAAAAAGAAACAATACATTTTCTGTTGGCCAAAGAAGCAAAATATTATTCTTTGCTTTTCAGGTTAGTTTTCTGCCTCTCCCAATATAAAAGTGGCATTCCTTATTCTACCCCTCACTCAAGTCCAATCTATTTGTTTTGTACTTTCTCTGACCCAGAGAGTGCCCATTTCTTTTTCATATAAATGACAGCTCCTGCTAAGGTATGATGCAAGGGGACCCAACAGTAGGCATTCCTATGGAGCAGCTTGTCCCCCAAAGCAAAGTTGGCCATGAATGTCACGGCCTTCCAGAGGTTAGTAAAAACCTCACTCTTCCAGAAGGCTTACATACTATAAAGCCATCAACACCAAATGAATTTATTACATCTATATTATTGTAATATATTATTTTTGTGGTATCCTTACTGTATTTGTATTATAAATGTCTGTACCCCACTTCAAGTTCAGCTGGATTGAGACAGTAGAAAAATTGCTTAAATAAATCAGGTACCCGTATATTTCTACAAGCAAATGTGCTTTGAATGGCCACATTTGCTTTTTGAATGATTTGCTTATAGTTCAATCTGCTATGTTTTGCTCTTTTCCTAACTGTAATTTTAAGTGCAAGTCCAAACCAATGAAGCTGAGGCTTGGTCTTACTATCAATTTGGCCGAAGTTCAGAAAGGCCATTCTGCACCTGGGGCACAGCTCTTTTTCTATGAGAACTAGCTGGAGTTTCAATGAAATGCGAAACGTGAAAAGCAAACTGGAATATTTCACTTTGTATACAGCCGAGTCACTGATTTCAGCCTGATACAGAAAATATTAGGGGCTGGGGCAGTTGGCTGTTTTCTCTCCCTGTGCTTTGCTGTGAGCCTATTAATAATATAGTCTAAACCAGTCAAATGTATTGTTGCATTAGTCTGTCAATTATATGCAGTGCCTGTGCCAAGTTATAAAGTTAGAGGCAAAAGAGAGACAGAATTATGCTTGCTACAAAAAGGTAATCAGTTTAAACAGTATGGCACAGCACCGTGTGCTGTGGGTAAGCCTTGGGTGCATTGTTCCGTACAAAGTGAATCTGAGATTTACTCAGTGTTGATGTCTATCGGAACACAGAGCTCCAGCCGTGTTCCATGATTTAGCGGCAGTAAAATCAACAAGTAACATAGTTTCCCCTGAAAGCATCCATGTTAATAACTTCTGTTACTATAGCTAACAAAATCTGTAAAATTATAACCTTTGATTGGATTCACTTCTGTTGGCAATAGTCCACGTGAACTTTCTC